TTTTTTCATTTAGTGCAATCGGTGTAGGAGCAATACAAGCTAATATGGCTGTATTTGGTGCTGAACAAATTCGAGGACAACAAGCTATAGCACGATATTTCAATAAATATTATATTGCCGTCAATACCGGTTCTTTCCTTGCTTTTGCTATTATTGCCTATATCCAGCAGAATGAAAACTATTTCTTAGGTTATTGCATTTCAAGTGGCTTACTTGGTATTACTATTATATTGTTTCTTGCGGGTTATAAGCATTATAATCATGTGAAACCACATGATTCTGTCATAACTAATTTTTTTCCTGTTTTCTTTAATGCATTTCAATCATGGCGAAAATATCAACCACATACAACTAGAATATTTATGAGACGTCGTTCATCTCATAAAGCAATGTTAACAAGTGATCAGTATGAGAATATGGATGGTTCACCATTTATTGTTAATGAACAACGAATACCATTTTTGGATTATGCTAAAGTAGAAAATAATGGTCGTTTTCAAGATCGTATTGTTGATGATATAAAATCACTTCGACGTATTATTGTCATGTTTCTACTTTTAATACCATATTGGTTAATATACTTACAGGTAAAATCTTCTCTTTTTTAACCATTTCGATACCAGCGAGCCTTACAAGGCGCGGTATTTTTCACTTTAATAACCCTTTGAATACCAGCATGCCTTTGGGGGATACAGATATTGATCGAAAATGATTTCGAAAGTTCTTTAAAAAGTTCCGATGAAAATATTCACAACATACAATATACATATTAAATATAAAGTCTCAACAAAGTTTCATCCATTGGCAGACCTATGGTACCGAAAGGGTTAGATTTAATTAAAAGAAAGAACTAACTAGAATATACTTGGTATTCATTGATTTTTGTCTTATATTTATTTAGAGTGATACAACATTTATTATACAAGGTGTCCATATGAGAGTACCAGCATTTCAATCAAAAACACGACATATGCCTGTATTATGGCTTTCTCTTAGTGATCAAATAATAGTTATACGTATGTACTAATAAATATCATTCTTATAGTGAGGGAGTAGGACTTCATGATTTTTTGATTCAGACTCAAAATAAAGACTTTTGATAATAAAACCAGATCCGAATCTTTTTCACTTCAAATTTTTAATAATTTCTATTTATTTTTATAGTTACTCTATTTATTCTCAATACATGTGTATATAAATATTTTTATATTAAAAATCGTCTGGTTTCCATTAAAATACGTTTTATTATTGGTATGATAGCAGCAACAATCTCCATGTGTCTAACAGGCATAACCGAAATATTTCGTCAAAAGAATTGTAATAATTCTTTTCAACAATCTATCGGTATGCTATATACTATTCGTCTTTCTTTTCTACATTCTTCAGTTCTATCTCATAGGTAATACGATCTATAATACTTCTGATATGTCAGTATTTTATCAATTACCACAATATATAAGTATAGGATTATCGGAAGTATTTGCTTCAGTCACTAGTTTAGAATTTGCTTATTTAACGGCACCACAATCAGCACAATCCCTTGTTATGAGTCTTCGTTTTTGTTCAATTGGTCTTTCATCATTTTTAGGTTCTGGTTATATAAATGTCTATGAAAATTTTTATGGAAATTTTTCTGTTACAAACTCAGAGGTATTTTTGTAAAAACAAATTATAACTATAAATCATTATTAATATTTTAGTGTAAAGATGCTGAAAAACCTGAATTATTTTATATTTATTTTTTTGTTTTGGCTGGTATTCAATTTATTTTTATTTTTATTTTTCTTGGATGTGATCGTAAATATCACATAATCAAAGCTTCTCAACATCGATTTAATACGAGTTTATTCGTCGGATCAACTTCTGAAACATCAAATGCTTAATTAATAATTCATTTTTTCTTTATCTTGTATAATTTTAATTTGTTAATAGAAAGAAAAAAGTGAGAAATCTTCATTCTTTTTCATCTGAAACATACGTTGATTGAATTCTAAATACAAATAAAAACAAGTTTGTTTTTCTTTTAATATCGAGCATCAGTGTCTTCAGTCAATATTAGTAAAAATAGAGAAGGACGAAAAAAAGAAACATTTTTCATTTAACTTGCCAATTTTTTCTTCTCTTACGGATTCAGTAGAAGCTGTTACTTTTACAAGAAAGAAAAATAATTGATGACAACCATAGCAAATAAATTTCAAGATGTTGCAAAACAATTGCAAAATTTAACTATTTGGAGACCAAATGAACGTGATCCACTTCTTGAACTTGAACAATGGCGTACAAATGCTCATTTAACTATTGAAGGAATCTATAGACAAAAAAGACAAGAAATTGAACAAATTTCAGAAAAACATGAACGAGAATTTTTACGACAATTAGAAAGACAACGATTAGCATTGAATAATACTCGAAAGAAAATGTTAGCAAAAAAAGAAGTTAGTACACATGTTCGTGCACAATATGAAACTTCAATATTAAATGATTTACAAAGAATCGAATATGAGATGAATGTTAGATTAGGTCGTGCACAAGTAATTATAGAAACAATCCCATTTAATTGTGAAAATTTAATAACAATTGGTCTTAAAACATATCTTTCAACAACACCAACAATGTATTTTAATGAATTAATAACAAAACATCAATCACAAAAACCAGCACGTCGATCAGCTAATGAAGCACACCGCGCATATGCTAATTGGCTTGCAACGAAGAATAATGAAGCAATTGCTCAGAAAGAACTAGAGGATGCTAAGCAAAGAATATCAAGTGCACGAGAAGATCCATTAACTAGACGCCAACAAAATGAAGAGGGATATAAGTCATGGTTGCAAACAAAGCAAGCACAAGACGCATTAAAAAAGAAAAAATTAAATATACATAATAATACTATTGATTAAGAAATTAATGAAATATAAAATCTTTTTCTTTTTGGAATAAATATTCTTTTATTATGATGAAGAGATTGATTCACTTTGTAGAAAAATACATCATTCTAGACAAAAGTATACCTATCAAAATCGAAAGAATGAGAAAAAAATTGTTTTATTATTTACTTTTTGTCTTTCAAAATAAAATTTAAAAAAAGCACGATGATGTTATTCATCAAAATATTACAAAAACATCTGATTAAACACAAAGATTATCATTTTTTATTGTAGTTTTGTTGACGAGTCTTTCATAAATTATTCGGAAAATTTAGGTTCAGTAAATGAACAATTATACAAGCAAATACTAATAAATAAACAAATAATAATAAGAAATATTATAAGTAAGATGCGTAAGCACGATGAATGATATTTAATAAATAGTAATAGACGAGATATTAATGATGAATTGTTCTTTGATAATAAAACGTCTTCGTTTTCGTCAAGATGTGAATTATTGATTTTTGAAAGATCTAATAAAATGAAAAAAAAACATAAATTAAAATTTTTGAATATATGCACCTAATGAACTTTATTTAAATACTGTAAAAGGGAGTCACACATTAAGTATGAATTCAACATATTCAAAGCTGATATATTATATCAATGATTCACAAATTAGAATATCATCTAAATTACTCTCAGCAGTTTAACAAAATCAAAAAAAACACAATGTTCATTATATTTATAGAGGAATTTAATTATGGGAGATATCTTTCCAACCAAGAATTACTTTCTATGATGATACATTTGAAAAACAAAACATTAATTTCTTACCTATTAATGTATCTTCATCGGTATATCTTGAATAAAAATATATAGCACAGCAAGTCATATCATCAACAATCATTTTATGTTGTTTTGTTTAATAATATTTATAATTATCAGCGAATATAAAATAATCAAATTGTTATTTATATATTATGGATTGTAATGCGTTGATTGTGGCTTAAAATAAAACAACCACGTTAGTTAGATAAATGATTGATAATAGCAATTATAATTATTATATGAGCTCGTGTTCTCCGACATTATTTATATATATATATATAT